ATCCCAGTAGCTCAGCTGGCTTTAGCTGGTGCTTGCCCCAGCACAGGTGCCCTTTCCTGGCCCTGGCAGCAGAAACAACTGGGCCGTGCTCTCCCTGTGAGGAAGAACCTGTGGGGTCCAAGACTCAGGGAAATGGACAAGTCCTCCTTCCTACTGCTCTGAGAAGCTCCTTCAGACTTCAGCCCTGTTACCTTCCTTCAGCTCAAGCTGTGCTTGTGGGAAGAGATCCCAGTGACCTGAAACTGCTTCCCAGAAATGTCTCGAGTGACCCCTGGGCTGCTGTGGGTGGAGGATGGCACAGACCTCGGAGGATGCTCGGAACAGGGGAGGCTGTTTCCTTCCCTCCTGGGCTTCTGAGCGGCTCCCCGGCTCTCGAGTGCCATCGTGAGGGACCCGCAGAGCTGTTCCCGAGCCTGGGCAACCTGCACAGAGAGGGGGAGGCCAGCGGGATGGCTGCTGGTGGCTTTAGCCCCCTCCCCGGGATGGCGCTTATTGGATGAAATAACTAAAAACCCGGGGAAAAAAAAATCAGGAGAGACACGCAGAATAAAAACAGAGCTGACATAATATGTTAAGACACTGATAATTGGAGAAAAACACACCCCGAGTAGTCAACAACCTGTCCTTGAGCACCAGGCCTGCAAGAGGGATGGAAGGGATCAAGGGAATTCTCCCAGGACTCACCTTGGTGTGAGAATGGCTGCAGCCTGGAGCACCAGGTAGAAAACACTGGCTCATTGCACTTGCCTATTAACATCCTATTAGCATATGCTTGTGCTATTAGCATGCTGAAATACCCACCCATAGGCCAGGGGGACCAGTGCCAATGTGGTGAGAATGGCTGCAGCCTGGAGCACCAGGTAGAAAACACTGGCTCATTGCACCTGCCTATTAACATCCTATTAGCATATGCTTGTGCTATTAGCATGCTGAAATACCCACCCATAGGCCAGGGGGACCCGTGCTAAGGAGAAGCCCCCTGCCCTTTGAGTTTGTAGGGACATTTTTTAAGCACTGTCACTTGAAATGGGAGCAAAGAACTAGTTCACCCATCGTGGATACGGGTGAGAGAATATAATTAGACATCAAGTCATTGTACAGTAAAAGTGTATAGAAGTAGCCCCTGTGTTTGGGAAAGCTGAGCTTGCTGTGTGGAAAACCACCTGGCTCCCTTTTCTGTGCAGAACTGGAAATTAAAGCAAGTATCTTGGCTCAGTCTGTGGAGGGGCTTGTTGCCACTGGGTGACAGACCCTGCTCTGGGGACAACAGGAGGGTCGCTCTGCCCACTCCCAGTTGCCTCCTGGAATGAAGGGGCTGGCTGTTTGTAGCCTTTCTATTGCAGGCTCTTGGATCTGCATCCCACAGGCTGAGGCCAAGCTCCTTTGCACAATTCATCACATGGCTGCTTCCCCTGGAGAGGTGAAGGGGGGGGGGAAGGGAGGGGATAAAAAAAGTCTTAAGCTCCCAATATCTGCAGATCTCTCTTACAATGGTGGGTTTGTGGGCCTAAAAGTGGCACCCAAGGGGCTTTTGCTCCTCAGCTGAGCTGCTCTGTACCTTTAAAAGTAGTTTTTAGAGTTGTTGAGCACCCTGTGGCAGCGTTTCCCTGCAGAACTGCTGCTGCAGGGAGTGGGTCGTTGGAGAGGGGAATGCATTGCTCAACAGGCCAAGGAGGATAAGGGGATAGGGTTTGTTGATTTATTATTTATTGTAGATGAGGGATTGAGAGAGAATTTGGTTTTTAGCACTGAGGTAACAGTGGGCAGGTGATAAGCTCCAGCCAAACCCTTGTCCTTGCCCTGCTTGGGCGTGTGTGCAGGAAGAAAAGCTCCCACAGAGATAATGAACCAAGGGTGGGAGGACAGTTGAGGGGGGCCTGGGAAGAATAATTTACTTGTGACAGTGCAGAGCTGGGCTGTGTCCTGCTCTGTCCTGGCTATTCACCCCCACGGATCATGGTGAGCACATGATCTAGGGGAAATCCACTGGTGTGTCTTTGGGTTCTCTCAGGGCTGCTTCAGCTGCTCCCTTTGGATTTGCTTTTGAGATGGTGTGCAAGAATGAAACAAGCAGCCTGGTTTTGGGCATACAGTGATTGCTGCACCTGGTGGCACTGGATTTTCATCTGAATCTTTGGGCTAGGACCAAATCTTGTCCTCTTACATCAGACAACAGTAGAGAGATATTTATTACTGCAAATTGATACATAAACATCTGTTTTCAAAAAGATGGCCATGTTATAAGTATTTAGGTTGCCAGGGCCTGGGCAGAGGCTGAAGAAAATTCAGAATAACAGAGTAAATACTATTTTTTTAATTATTATTTTTGTTTTAGCCCTCTCTTCAGGCCAGAGCTGGTCAAAATAATTCACCACAAACATAAAAATGTGTGTGTGTGCTGAGGTCGTGAGACATTGGGTGGAACTGATCTGATTGAGGGTGTTGAAATGAGAAATGTTTGCTTTCTGTATTTCAGAAATACTTCAGTTGTCAGTGGATTTTAGTTTAATGATTATCATTAAGTATTATGCAAACCTTGGTATGTTTCAGTTTGGGTGGAATTCAGCAGCTGTTTGCATGTTTGTTTTTACTTTTGCCTTAGTTCAAAAAGCTGTGACTGTTTACCCAAACAATTGAGAAAAAGGTTGTTTAAGAGTTTTCCTGGACAAAGCAAATACACACTTTGTTTGCACAACTACAGCCCTGACCTAAATAAAACTTTGTCCAATATCTTGATATGCTTAATGAGCTAAAAATAGCTAGAAAAAAAACCAAACAAAACCCACACAACAAATGGAATAAGGTAAGACTCCAGCCTCATTTTGAAGGCTTTGCTGGTTTCTTTCACAATCTCATTGTTTATTTTTAAATAGAAGGTTTGTTTCAGAAGCAAGCAGCTGTTTTGTCTTTTGAAAGGTCATAAAAATACTTCAGGGGTGGATGAGACTTACAGGGCTGTGCCCAAGCAGTGCCAAGTTGCCCTTGCACTCCTTGGCTGTGCAGGACAAACACAGGACATAAAACCCAGAGTGAGATAATGTTAAAATACACATTTCCCTCAGGATATTGATATAATGTGATGCTTTGCCAGTTCTTACATTGACATCCATCCTGAACCGTGCAGAGCAGAAGCAGTGTTTTGTCTTCCCAAAGTAGTGTCTATCAATGAAAAGGAGGGAGGGAAGGAAGCAACCCAGGTCTTGTACAAAATCATGCCCTGGGCTGCCTTGCAGGGGTTAAAACCCCTGTGGTCTTGTTTGTATGTCCCCAAACAAACAAAAAGTCCTTTTTTTGTTAGAATTTGAGCACATATCCCCCTCCTTGTCCTTCATTTTTTTGTTCCCTCCTCCAAGTGAATGGCCACAAGCCTCCTGAGACAGGACAAGGCACGCAGTGGGAGGAAAGGAGAGGCAGGCTGTGGTTTTAGGGTGCACCCAGCTGAGCCCTGGGTGGTGCAGATCAGCAAGGCACCCTTGGTGGGACACCCGGCCAACGCTAGGGTCCAGCTGCTGTTAAGGAGCACTCAAATGCCTTGCTTGTGAAAACACCATAGTGTTCTGGGTTTGTGTCATGTTTGGACACAAGAGCCTGGCTCTGCAAGGCCCCAGTCTGTGCTGCTTGTATGGGAAGGAGCTGTGATCTGCTCCTTCTGGGCAGGCAAGAGGGGCTGGTACCTGGGGCTGACTGTTGGCTTAACAGAAATGCACCTTAACCCTCAGGTGTTCCCTGAGTTGGCTGCTCTGCCCCAGAGTGCCTGCAGAAATGCAGCATGAAGGGGCAGCAGAGTGTTTCCAGGACTTGGATTTCTCTCCCTGGGGTGAAGAAGAGGAGGCACATTAAAAAAACAGCCTGCTTCATTGAGGATTTGTAGTGTTAATGCCAGAGACTTCATCTTTACCAGCTAATCCCAGCTCTGCTCCTAGCTGCTTTAGCATGTGCCAGAGCAGCAGCTGCCTAGCAGGAAAGCAAAGGTACCTTTGGAGGGCAGACACTTGGTGTGCTACCCTACATGGTTTGAAATAAATATCAAAGTGAACATCTACATTCATCAATAAAATTAGCAGGGGAGAGGCAGGCAGATGGTGTCCTGCTAGAGATCTGGGTGAAGAACAAACTCTGGGGTATGACCAAAGCTGATCAGCCCAAAGAGATGGTCGTGGCCTCGTGGTGGCAAATGGATCAAAAGTGGGTCTTATTTTTTTTAAGAGGTAGCATGAAGTTAAACTGCATTACATATTCTTTCACCTGTGGAATCATTCACACCATCAGCGAGGTGATTGCTGTTTCATTGCTCTCTGTCTTTAGAGCTTGTTCCCTGGCACATGGGATTCCCAGTTTAGTGCAGTGTTTTAAGTGCTGACAACCTGAAATTTCTTGTAATTGACGTTTAGGGATTTCTGAGTTGCAGGTTTGTTTGAACATCTCATATTTAGGGTTCAGTCTTTGCTGGGAGTCAATCAGTCTGTCCCAGTGAGACTCGTCCAGGACTGGCTGGTTAAACCCTTGACTAGCAAACTGGTTTTCTTTTTGAAGTATGACTTTAGGCTTCGGGGAATTTGACCTTCCTGTGTTCCAGGAGTGCTCTGCAGAGAGAAAAACCTAAAGTACATTGTGAGACTGATGTACAGAACATCAGCAAACTGAGGGGCAGGGAGCAATGAAAGAGCTGCTGAACTGAAGGAACTTTCTGGCATACTAGTTGTGTATGTTATTTGTGTGTTTCGTGATAGAAATGCTACCTGCCAAGTCCACTCTTCCCTCCTGCCTCCCCACACGTTCTTCTGTGCAATTAGCAGTCTAAAATATCCATTCTTCCATAAAGAAGCCCCTGATCTGTCCTCTCCAGGACTCAGCTGGTCAAGTGGTCTGGATCTACTTGTACCAGGAAGGTATGGGAAACAAACTGAAGAGAAATAGCACAAGTTGTGCTTCCACCTGCACCAGAGTCAGCCAGGACCATCTTTCTGACCCTTCCTGGGCCTCTCTGGCAGCCTTTGTCCCTAGGATTTGGTTGGAACATTAGCAGCCCCTTTCTCGATGATCTGTACTGGGTGGATGGGTAGGACCAGGTGGGAGATGCGGCTCCACAGCCCACTCAGCTTGTCAGGATCCATGTGGTTGTAGGACCCGGGGGTCTTGGTGCTGGTGAACTTGTCCCGGAGGAAGTCCCGGACCTTCTCTTCTGCCTGATAGGGGCTGATGTCAGCCTCCAGCACCTCCTCCTCCAGCAGCACAGTCAGCAGCAGGGCCACGTCCTTGAAAGCAGCGCTCTCGTGGTCGCAGTACTTGTAGAAGATGAGGGTGGCTTCTGCTGGCAGCAGCTCGAAGCGGTGAACCACTGCAGCACGGTGCCCAGCCTGGAAAGCTGAGCTAAGCTCTTCATCCACCTCCTCCTTGGCCTGGTCACTCTGGAGGCTGGTTTTACTCCCCCCATCAATCTGGACCACGTCAGCCTGCAGGGCAGCTGAGTAGGCACCAGCCACCTGGTTGCTGAGGCATCGCAAGGTCCGCTCACCCTCCTGGGCAGCTGTGAAGATGATGATGGCTGGCTGGGTGGGGTGGGAGGCATTGAGGTGCTTCTTCAGGAGCTTGCGCCCTCGAAGCCACAGCTGGGGGCTCTGCCCTGGAAACTTGTCCTGCAGGTGGTTGAACTGGGACAGAAAGGCCTCCACTGCGAGGTTCTTGGGGACCTGCTGGGACTTGGAGGTCAGGGGACTGAAGAATATGAAGAAGATGAAAACCGCGAAGGCCATGAGCATCAACCCTGTTCAACAAGGGAGAGACCCAAGATGGGGAACAAGTCAGTGCCAAGTGACCTGCAGTGATATGCTAGACAGTAGCTACAAGGGCTCTTTTTCCCCCACCCAGACCTTCCCCACTACCCCAGGAGAGCAGTTCAGGTTGGCACCATCTCTGGGGGCCCAGGGATGGTGAAGAGGTGAAGGGGCTGCTTGACCATGTTGTGACACCCACGCTCCCACACAGCACCCAGGGAGGACTACAGCTCCAGAGATGGAGGCAGGGCTACAAGCTTTGATGTCACAGCCCAACATTTCCTGAGGAAACTGCAGCTGGACCACAAGCTTTCTTCTCTCCCCACCCTCTGTTTCATTCAAAGTTTGTGGCTGTTTGGAGCACCTGCCTGCATGGATGTCTGAGCCACCTAAGGTGTCCTGTTCACTGCTTTTCTCCTAGCTATGCTGGGTGAGCAAAGGCTACCACACTCCTGTGCAGAAAAGGAGGACAGCAAGATCCAGGCACAACTGCTTGTGTCCCTCTCCATGGCAAAGCAGGGTGTCTTTCTACCAGGAAAAATCTGTGGTGTAGATCAGCATCACAGTTCTTGCTTGGGCCTCCTGACACAGAGGGGGACCATGAAGGGGGACCATCAGCTCAGCAGCCTCAGATCCTCCAGGACATGCCAGGGTGCTCCTGACATGCTGAACATGATGTGCCTGCTTCTGAGGCTGGAGAGCTGGAGGGAAACCTGCTACTACCACCTTCAGCTGAGCCTATTTTTAAGGGAATGGTTTTTTCCCCTCAGAAAAGGCTGTGAAAGGTCCTGAGAGAGAAGAAGAAGAATTAAATGTGCTTTATTACTTGTTCCTGGAGGACCAGTGCCTTCTGGACGATGAGTAATGCACAAGGGAAGCTTCTTTTCCTCACCTTTCAGGAAGAGGGACGTTTTGGCCTTCTTCTGGTCTGTGGTTTGGGTGGTGACATTCTGCAATGTCTGATCCTCTGGCTTTGGAGTTGCTTGCCCTACAGGAACAGAAAGAAATGTGCCACTCGCTGTTGAGGGAACAGGTACATTGGGCATTGATGAGAAAAGCAACAGAGGAGCTTCCAGCTGAGGGGAAGGGTTAGAAGTGCCTACTGCTTCAGGTTAATGCTGCTTGGAGTCTTGGTGCTCTCTGCTTTTTTGAGGGGCAGAGGAAGGAGAAAAACAATGCAGAGTGCAGGGTGGTTGTGTGCCTTCCAAAGCAGGGCAGTAGCCAAAGGAGAGAGAAAGGGAGAAGCCTGTTAATTTCCTATACCTTCTTTCCTGCTTGACTCTGGAAAACTGACAATGGGCACCAGAGAGCTCACCACACCTTTTTTCAAATATTTATAAAAGTTGCAGGCATGTGCAGAGTGGCAGAGCAGCAGGTGCAGCCACCAGCTCACCTTTGGTCCCATGTCTGCTTCTTAACGTGCCCTGGGATCCACTCCCCTGGGTTTGTTGCCCATCGTGCTCCTCTGGCTCCTGATCTTGGACAGGGGCACTGGTGCTCTTCTCTGCCAACAGGCCCCTGGGGACATCTTCTGAGGCAGTCACATCTGAATGTGTCATTTTATTGTCGGAGCTGAGAGACTTGCTTCTGGATGAAGCATCTTCCTCTCCTGTATAGGAGCTTTCACACTGGCTGCTCATTTCCTGGTTCTCCTGTGATTCCTGGTTCTCCCTGGGATCCACTCCCCTGGGTTTGTTGCCCATCGTGCTCCTCTGGCTCCTGATCTTGGACAGGGGCACTGGTGCTCTTCTCTGCCAACAGGCCCCTGGGGACATCTTCTGAGGCAGTCACATCTGAATGTGTCATTTTATTGTCGGAGCTGAGAGACTTGCTTCTGGATGAAGCATCTTCCTCTCCTGTATAGGAGCTTTCACACTGGCTGCTCATTTCCTGGTTCTCCTGTGATTCCTGGTTCTCCTGTGATTCCTGGTTCTCCTGTGATTCCTGGTGGACAGGACTGTCTCCTTTGCTGACCATCTTCCTGCAGGCCAAACTGGCTGTGGAGAAAACAATTTGCAGACCCATGCTTAGTGTCCTTCAGCACAAGAACCAACAACCACCTTTCTCTTGCTCTGCTTCCCTCTAAGCCAAGGCCCAGGTTATCAGCATTTTGGAATTGCTCTACACAGCAATGGGAAGAGACCTACCTTCATCCAAGTCATCCTCTTCCTGGGATCTTTCTGAGGGAGCATCTCTCATCCTCCCAGATTCTTCCAGTGATACTTCAGTTTCTTGAGGAGCACTGTCCTCTACTGTGGGGCCAGCTGAATCTGACAGTGTTGTTTCTCCTCCATCAGCTGCTGGTGCCTCACACACCAAAGAGTCCTCCTCTGGTTTCCAGGGGGTTTCAGGACCCCTGCTTGTCACTTGGTGCTCAGGTGTTTCTTGAGGGGGCTTTTGGGGTGCAGGATGCTCTGCTGTGCTCTCCACCTCACCTTGGGCTGGCCCAGCTGTTGGGATCAGAGTTCACAAGCTCAGTGAGCCTCAGAACTAGTTATTCTGAGGCTGAACATCAGCATTTGCAACATATTCTGAATCTCAGGAAACCAAACAGTTGCAGCTCAAATCTCAGCCATTAGTTGTGAAACATTGCTTTATGACTGATCAAGCACTACAATGACAGAAACGATTGTACTAAGGTTAGAAAAAAAGACTGATTAAAATGTCAAGAAAAGTCCCTGCTAATTTGAAAATAGAGAAAAAGCTGCACTTGTTATGTCAGGATATGCTCTCCTTTGGAGCATGGTTTTTATATTCTTCGTTGTTGAGTATTAAAGGAATACTAGGACAGATCTGAGCTGGCAACAGCACCATGGTTATCACTGAAATACTCACATGTAGTACTCAAAACAAGGCACCCATGAAATCTAAGCACGTGGCAGAAACTGAAAGACAGGGAACTTGTACCCTGCTCTTCAAGCTGGGCACAAACAGCACTCCTTGCCCTCCCTTCTCCAGAGGCTTCCCATCCATAGGTAGTGGAAAACTGGCTTATTATTTCCTCATCTGTGGATCTGTGGTTTCTGGGCTCTGCAGAGTTTGGATCTTGCACTTGAGCCTCACAGGCTCATGCCCACCAGGCAGATACAGCCCCGTGAGACTCAGTTATTCATTGGAGGTGAATTTGTTATAAAAGCTGAATGTCTCTTCGTGGGTCCACGTGAGCCACCTGTGTTAAGCAGAGCCCCTTCTCCTTGGCTGGTACCTGAGGACATTGCTCTTTACCCTGTGCCTTGTGTAACCCTGCAAATGGGAGCTGCTTTACCAGACTGCACTTCCACTTGGCAGCTGGCCCACAGGAGATGCTCCTCCCTCCACAGCCAGCATTACAAAGCTGCTTCCCACAGGGAAGCACTGGGAGGCAGGGAAGAAAGCTCCCCCAGTCTGGATCCCCACCTTTTAGTCTTCCTTGTGCTGCCATCCCAGACACAGTCTAAACCTGTTGCAGATGGGGATCCAAAACTGAAAGTAACTTGTTAATCTTTCACCCTGTAAGAAAATATAGCAACTTGGTTTTCTTGGCCTGGAAATGAGTAGGTTCCTTTATTTTTTAATTTTTATTTGGCTTAGGTTTCCCATGTCACTGCTGAAATCTTCTTTCAAAGGGATTTTCCTAGTGGATGGAGCAAGCATAGGATTCACTTACCTCCAGGCAGATCCATGCTGGGATTTTCTTCCATTTTCTTTCTCCCCTGGAGATGTGGCTTCTGCACAGTTTGGTTTCACTTTCTCCCTCAGTCATAAGGAGATGTTTCTCCTTGTTGTTGGAGTGTCCAAGTGACCGAGCCCCTTCACAAGCACCATCCCATCTCAGCCTCAGGAATCGCAACTAAATGCCTGAAAGCAGAAAGACAGGAGCAGTGATTCCTGGTGGAGAAGGGGAGTCCTCCCTCCACGCCTGCCAAGGAGGTGTGAACATGGAGATCTGATACCTGCCAACCTTCAGGGCAAGAGCTATCAGCTATTTTTCCTTCCTGGCAGAAAACAAGCAGTCCAAAGGCAAACACAAACCTCAGCTGTCTTGGGAAAAGCCCATAGTGGGGGCGAGACACCAGTTTCCCACCTGGATGGACTCTGCTGTGCTCCAGGATGGCCAGGCCTGGAGGCTGGGAAGGTTGAAGCAACTGGCAGGAACACAGCCTGACACCCCCTGCAAGAGTGTGACCCTGCCCAAAACCTTGTTCCCCACCCGAGGGAACCGGGCAGTGTCCTGGGAATGTGGTGAACACGGAGCCTGACTCTCCTGCACATCCCTCTCCTCTCCCGTGCCATGGGACGGGATGGGATGGGAAGGGAAGGGATGGGATGGGAAGGGAAGGAAAAAGCTATTGTTAGAAACTTGCTAAAGTTGTTCCGTGCAAGTTCTCAGGAATTCAGTGTTTTATAAGAAGCTCTCTGCTTGCTTTTACTTGTGAGTTATGTAATATGAAGGCAGAAACAGTCTCTAAAAGTCTAGAACGTCTCATTAAATCTCTGTGTAGAATAAGTGTGTTTGCTGATCTGAAATTCAGTGATGAATAGTGTAGAAATTTCTGGACGAATGAAGCTTAGAAAGTGCTTCTCCCCAACATCTGTGATTTTCAAAAGATCTCTTTGCAAGTAACCAAGCTGTTTCCTAAGTGCTAATCAAACAAACTGGACAAGAGAAAAATGTCATTAAACCTAAGGTGGGGCGTCATGTAAGACTCCCGAGAACCTTTCCCGGCCGGAGAGCGGCGGGTGCGGATTTTCCGTGCGAAAAAACTCAAGCTCAGCCTCGGCGGCAGCTCCTCTAGCACTGGGAGGCACCTGCCCCCCAGCCCGCCTGTCTTCACAGGGGAGTTTTTCTTGCTAAATACAAGATTTGGGCTTTGGAGGGGGTTGTTTAAGTGCTGCTCCCCGCTGCCCGGCTCTCGTCCCTCCCTGTGCCGCTCCCGCTCCGGGAGGAGAAGGAAGCGAGAAGGAACAAAGTGGAGTCGGACACTTACCCGGGCAGGTCCGGAGGCCGTCGGGGAAGCGAAGTGAAGCGGAGAGAAGGCAGGAAGAGACCAGCACTGGCCCCGCCGCTTGCCCTTGGTGGCAGGACCAGCCCGCGCCCGCAGCGCACACCCCAAATCCTGCCCTCTCCCCGTGACAGCGAACTCTGTCCTTCCAGGGCTGCTGGGAGCTGTAGTTTCCCTCCCCTCCTTCTCACCACAGGGTGGGGGGGAACAGCTTTTTCCCCGATGAGTTCAGGAAATGAGAACTCCTCCTTTTTTTGGCTTTGTTCCTGAAGCTCTGAGGTCGCGCAGCCTTTGCTGGTGCCTTCCTGTGCTAAGAGAAACCGGCCTTGCAAACGGAAGCAAACTCGATGGCAAGTGAAAAGGGAACTATTTTGAGACCTGATTGTATGAAGGTGAAAAGTCCCAGAAGAAAAAACAACAAGAAAAAAAAAAACAACAACAAACCCAAACCGTGTAGGCAGCCAAGCCCAGGTTCTGGAAATGTCCCACCGTGGCAGTGCAGGGAGGCTGGGGAGCTGAGGGCTGGGAAATGGGGTGTCTTTAGCATCAGCCTGAAGGGCAGGGGATGGGGAGTCCCCCCCCTGGTGCTCCCCTTCCGGCGTGGTGCAACAGGAGGGAGGTCAGAAGAAAGATGTGCTGCTGCTCATGGCCTCATCTGGGCAATGGTTTTCCTGGGACAGGTTTGGTCCTACTCCTTCCCTATTCCCCAGGACACGTGCTCCAGGGAAAGGCATCAGCACAAGAAGCTGAGTAGGGACTGCACTCTCCCCCTCGAGCTCAGCTTTGCAGCCTTTTCATTAACAGCCCCAGAGCAACCAGCTGGAGCACTGGGAAAGGCCACTGAAATGGTGCTTGTAGGGAATAGGGACTAAATGCCTTGGTTTGGAAAAGAGAGGGCTGAAAGGAGGGATTTGACTGATGTGTTGTTCACCAAATCCTGCAATCCTAGGGCTTGAGATGCTCGTGGAGCAGATCTGTCACACCACACAAGTGGCTGAGGATGGTGTGGCTCAGCATTGCTGGTGGCACCTGGGAGGTGAGGAGGCACGAGGCGCAGGTGGGCACGGCACAGGTAGCAGTGGCAGGATTCCAGCAGGATTCCACCTGCTCTCCAGCAGCACAGGAAGGCAGTGGCTTCCTCTGCCACCTGCAGAGCCACCCTGCAGGTGGTGGCTGGGAGGGGCCAGGCTCCATCTCCCTCCCTGGCAGACTCAGCACATTCTTTTGTGGTGGCCAACCTCTCAGCTGGTGTGGCAGAGGCTGTAAAACTGGGGATAGTGGCAAAGCAGGAAGGAAAAAGTTGGAGCGGTTGATCCACAGAGGCCAAGACCTCCCTGAGGGTCCTACTCTTGGTTGCCATCTCCTTCCTGGCCAAAGGGACACTTGAGTTGATTTGCTTCTAGCCAGAAAGAAGGAATGGCCAAAGTGGGCAGGAGCTGCAGGTTTCAAGAGCTTCATGAAAATCAAAGTATTTTCTGTCCCTCTGACCAGCCAGTCCCTTCATCCCAGGAGGCAACTGGGAGTGGGCAGAGTGACCCTCCTGTTGTCCCCAGAGCAGGGTCTGTCACCCAGTGGCAACAAGCCCCTCCACAGACTGAGCCAAGATACTTGCTTTAATTTCCAGTTCTGCACAGAAAAGGGAGCCAGGTGGTTTTCCACACAGCAAGCTCAGCTTTCCCAAACACAGGGGCTACTTCTATACACTTTTACTGTACAATGACTTGATGTCTAATTATATTCTCTCACCCGTATCCACAATGGGTGAACTAGTTCTTTGCTCCCATTTCAAGTGACAGTGCTTAAAAAATGTCCCCACAAACTCAAAGGGCAGGGGGCTTCTCCTTAGCACGGGTCCCCCTGGCCTATGGGTGGGTATTTCAGCATGCTAATAGCACAAGCATATGCTAACAGTATGTTAATAGGCAGGTGCAATGAGCCAGTGTTTTCTACCTGGTGCTCCAGGCTGCAGCCATTCTCACACCAAGGTGAGTCCTGGGAGAATTCCCTTGATCCCTTCCATCCCTCTTGCAGGCCTGGTGCTCAAGGACAGGTTGTTGACTACTCGGGGTGTGTTTTTCTCCAATTATCAGTGTCTTAACATATTATGTCAGCTCTGTTTTTATTCTGCATGTCTCCTTGTTCTCTTGTATGTGATTTTTTTTTTTTCCCCCAAAAAAATTGTACTGATTTCAACCAATAACCAACATCAACCCTGCCCACAGAAGCACAGGTGTCAGGAAACTGGTGGCAGAATTCCAAGTCAGGAAGAGGGAGAGAGGAGCCTTCAGCCTGCACGGGGTGACAATTTGGGTAGGAAAATCAGCTTGGCACAATGAACGGGTCAGTCTAGGACATGAAGTCACCCACCCTCACAAAACTGCTGCCAGAAAAAAAAACAACAACCAAGCAGGATGACCTTCTGTTATGTTGCTTTTCCCACTTTCAGCATTCACAAACTCACGGGATGTGAGCTGGAACTTACCCGGTCTTTTTGTAACTTAAGTCTGACGGGGGGTTTTAGTGAAACAGGAGTAACATTTTCTCTCCACCTGCAGAAGGAGCAGCAGTGACTTGGCAAATTCCAAAGGACACGCCTGTGTAAATGTTTACCCAGTGCCACCGTTTAGTAACTTGATCTGGGAAGTTGCCAGTTAAAGTGATGCTACCTGGGGCTGTGGTCCTGCCAGGCCAGACCACCCATCAGTCACAGGCAGGTGGTTTTTTGGGGGGTTTCCACCTGCGAGGACAGTTCAGCTGCACTTTGGAACCTCCTGCTGTGGTTGGTTGTTACATCCTCTTTTAGAAAACATTGCTCAGTGTCCGGGTCCTGCTTTTACAGCTTAAAAAGACTGGCAGTGTTTACTGGGGGCGTCACTTGTATCAGAAATACGCACTTGCTTCTGGGTGAAACTGATGTTTAAGCTGTGCTGGCGGAGCAGACATGGATTTTCCAGTTTGAAATACACGGATACACAGGACAGTAGGAGGAGGCAAGACCGAACAGCACCTTCCTCACTCACCCTGCAAAATACGACGGCACCGACGCGACCCTGCGAACCTCGGGAGCCCCTGGACGTGACGCTCCAGCCCTAACCCGCCCTTTTCCCATTCCCAGCAGCTCCCGATCCCTGCCCTGCCCTGCC